ATGTAACTAATTTTCCAGCATCACAAAGTATGCCTATGGCATATGCAGTTAGTCGATTGCTTCAAGCAATTTTTAGTTCTATCAGCAATATAAATTTTGCTGTAAATAAATTTTCTTGTTTAATTCATATTTGTAAGATTTTGCTTTACTTTAGATGAACTTTTATATTTTTATAATATTTTCATCACGCTTTCGTCGTCAAGTGAAACTTGTTCTAGTGAAAAAATGTTGGCAGCGATGGAAATATTGGTGTTGTTACACAAATAATCGAATTGAACCTGACAACAATACTGAACCACGCAATTTAGAAGTGGAATCTGTTGAAAGTATCTAACTGTTCATTAAATACAATAATTCGCATGTCTATTTTTTCCCTTAGTAATAGATCATATATAAATGTAATATTCATTTTATTTACCCTAAAGAAAGTGAGGATCACAGAGAATTAAAAAGATATTATCCCATATTCTCATTAATAAAGCCTGCACTTTTTTCTATTTTTTTCTTAATTGATTTATACTGTTTCTGTAGTTTTATGAATATAAAACATTTATCTTATTAGTTTTGTCTTCTACTAATCTGTTTTAACATAATTATTGAGCCACACCAGTGTCTTGTTCAGTAGCATTCATCTATAAAGTATTAACTCGAATATTTTCGATGGATGGCAGAAAAGCTCGCTTGTAAATTGATAGATGGCCTGTAATTGCTATGAATTGTTCGACGATATTCAACTGTTGTTGTATATTCATATATTGAAGAACACTTTCGACAATGTTTGATGGATGTGGTTTCTGTAGAAGATAATATTCATCCGCACTCACACCCTAATCAAATCCTAATTACATTTAATCATTACCAAGAGACGGGATGGGTGTGGAAGTGTGTGTGAATAAAAAGAATAATCACATCTACACCCACCTGCCCACACCCACACCTGACTATTTATACTGAAATACTCCAATAAAAAGCAAAAAAACCCAGTATCGTAACTAAAAACGATACACTGAATCACAAAGACTTCGACTGAAAACACTCGAGAAAACTTGCCAAAAAGTTAATAATGTATATTTCAATGCGTCTTTATATCTTCTTTCTAACTGTGAAAATCGTAGCTTTCTATCATGTTCTTATAAAAACTTATTCAAAAAAAAAATACTCAGGACTCTTTTCTATAATTTGAAAAGGATAATAGCACTTGCCACTTGTTAGCCTGCCTGTAAGGGTACGAGAGAAAGAAATAAAATTGTATATGAGTATATCTCATAGATTTTATTTAATACCAGGAACACGTATCCTTATCAAAGAAATGAATAGTATATATAGAAAAGAAAAGAAGGAAAAAATGTAATATATGTTTACATTTTTGACTCAAAAGAAAAAGAAAAGAAAAAGGAAAAATGTGATTATGTATCACATTTTTAATAGAACGCGCATAAGGAAGAGTGATGACCTGAGTCATCACTAACACCACTTAATAATCATTTTCAATAATTTTTAAAAATATTTATTTTTTATATCAATTGGATTTATCCACATGAATAAGAAAATATTGATCACACCTCAGAAATTTCCCACTTACGAAAATAGGAAGACAGTCAATGATGTGAAACGAATCATGTTGGAAATAACCCATCATTCACGTATAAAGACGACTGTCGAAAGGGAAAAAACAATAGTAGTAATAATATATTACTAATGGTTGGATGTTACCAGTTTTCATTACAGTCTTAACGATTTCTATATAAATTCAGGCTGTATCGTTTATGAATAACAATTTTCGAATACTATTTGTAAGTAAATTGAATTGAGAATAGATATTACTCTTTTGTAGATTGTCATTCATTTCGTATTGTGCAACGTGATGTTTCCCTGGCCTTTTACGAATCTTCCTTCAATTAAAATTCTATTAACAGAAAATAAGGAAAAAAATTATTTTTTGGGCGGTGAAAAACTCTCAGGCAAATTGGTATCACACACAAATCAACCAGTTTCGATTGATAATTTATGTTTATCACTTACCGTCAAATTATGGGAGAGTACTAACAGTGTACCTGTCTCTGCTTCTTCAGTACCAATGTCATCCACTTGTAATGAATTATTGTACGAGAAAGAGATACGTCTCTGTTCACCAAGTGATGAAGATATTTCGTTTGTATGTAACTAAACTTATAAATCGTGTATTACACGAAACTCTCAAGAAAAATATATATCTTTTCTAAATTTCTTTGCTCTTATAGGTTGACACCGAAACATCTGACGTGCTCTATACCTTATTTACTTTTAAATTCAAAATACCAGATGATTTCCCATCATCCATCCGCGCATGGGAATCGTCAGGCAGTACTTCCATCGAATATTCTTTAGTATTGGAATATATTCGTCCCGAGAAAAAACCCAAAGAAATAAAACGGTTACCAATCTGCGTGTTTTCACGTGTTTCTCCACCGGAGAATCAAAATAATATCGAATTAGTTGAAAGGAATCGAGACGATGTGTCTGTACGTATACAAATAAATCGTGGCTATGTTTTGTCTGATGAACGACAGTTACCTCTGGAAATTAACATCGAAAATCCAAAAAGAAAAATGATCCACGATATTAAATATCAGTTTGTGCAAAAGTGTGAACTTTCGCCATACAAATATCGAACAGTCTTGGTTGATTCAAAGATTGCTGGTATATCAACCTGTAACGCGAAACACTTTCATGAAAAATTCTTACTACCAATATCAAAAAATATGATGGTGTGTCCACCCACGAAAAATTATCGAATTCCATCTGATCCAAAAAAGGACATGCATATCTTTTATATACTGAAACTCGAATGTTGTGTAGAAGGATTATTCACAAATATTAAATTCAAAATACCGATTTTCGTAGCCAGTGAATAATAATCATTATCATTATTGAAAGACAATATGAGTGATTATACATTGAAAATAATATCCACATCATCGCTTATTTATTCATGCTCATCTTTTATACAAGAAAATTTTCTTTAATATTCATTTCTTTTTCATTTAGCTTCGCTACATTTTTCTTTTTATCTCTCATTTCACTCTTGAAAAATCTAAGAAAAAGATTTTTATGAAAATCGTTTATAATTGTACGAATTTAGTCAACAAATTTATTAACAATAATCACAAATAAAACTAACCTTTTTATATAAACATCTTCCCTAGTTCGAACATTTCATAGAAAAATATCATTGATCATTAAAATAAATAATTTTCTATTGAATTAATACATTAAATATATATTTATATTAATATAAAAATAAATCCGAATTATTTATTTCCTAGGTTATTGCTAGTCATCATTTGTCGTTCTCTTCCTTTATAAAATAAGACACGTGAATCGATATTCGTTGTTATTCATGTATTTATACAAAATAAATTGAAGAACAAGATATTTTTATCGGATGACTGACAATATATAATAATAATAATAATGACTCACGTTGATTAAATGAATGAGTAACTTAGATTTTTTCGTCTTTCCTCATTTTTTTATTCGATGTCTTTTATTATTATAGAAGATTTAAAATATTTGTTAGAGTTATTCTTGAAGGTGGACGAGACTGTTATCGATGAATTAGATAATATCTCGTTCACACTCACAATAAATTATCACGAATTTTGATTTAGAACTTGTTCAAAAAATAGATGGTAGTACCATTAAAAACTGTATTCTGAGAAGAGAGATGTCTATCTTGATCGACGCGAAACTTTGCCGGTAAAGATTGATGATTATTAATTTAGCTGCTTTGTTGAACTCTACTTCACGGATGTGAAGCACAAATTATACTGTTATATGCAAAATATATTTAAGATCGAATCAAATTGTGTAAAAACGTATACTAAAACAATGAGACGACCCTCTTTCGATAAACTAAAGATTCGATTATGGAGTTACACGAAATCTTGAAGCAATTAAATTAAGTTCGAAAAATAATCTACCATCATTTGATTCGAATTTCATTTACAACTCAGAACTCCAGTCAAATTTGAACTGCTATCGTTTTGTATAGTTTATGGTTGTAGGTGTTGGCACTAGACGAGTATGATAGTCATATTCGGACACACCCTTATTTACACCTACACTCACACCCATTATGAAGAATTTAAAAGCTTTAACAAATATTATAAACGAGATGAAGGATAGTGGTATGAATATAGTCAGTTTTGTGTTTACATCCACATTCTCATATAGAAAACGATATGACGCAATTTTGCTGTGCATTAATAAGAAAGAAGTATTCATAGATTTATTCATGATTATTACAAAAAAAAATGAATCTTTTGATAGACAGTCATACATGAATAAATCGTCCGATTAAATTAGTTAATGACTCAAACGAAAGAAACGAATCCCCATCGAACACATATCATACTTCCTTTAGATATTTTGTTTACCTGATGAAATTTCAATCGTTCTCTTTTGCATGCGTCATTATATGTTTATTGAGAAATAGCCAACCGTTTACTCTTCATATGATATAAATGAAAAAAAATAACATGAATTGATTAATTTTTCTCAGTCACGCCGCGTAAAACAACAACACCGATTACTTTGAAACGAAAAATGACCAAAAGAAAACTGTCAAGTGAAATTCCAATGATCGTAAAAAGATCATTTCCAGAAGACGACAATGATGAACAAATCATTATTATTTGTTTTCATCCAAATAATGAAATCGAAGATATGAAGAAGCAATTAAATCAAATGAATGATCATGTTGTATTCCATACAGAATTGGAATCATGCATTTCTTTCATTCAATCAATTAAACATGAAAAAATCTTCTTGATTATTTTTGATTCTTATGCTTGTGAATTGGTGTCTCATATTGATATTTTTCAACAAGTACATTCAATCTTTATCTTTTACACAAAGCCTGAAGACTTTAAATATTTATTTCATGAACAACTGAATATAATTGGAGTTTATCATCGATTGGATTTTTTCTATTCAGCTCTCGAAGAACAAATTAGTTTAATAGCTGAACAATTTTTTCAATGGACATTTTATGATCAAACAAATTTCCTCAAAAGAGATATATCGAAACAATCAAGTGATTTTCTTTGGATGCAATTATTTCATGATGCGATTTCATATTTTCCTCATGATGAACAAGCAAAAGAAGATATGATGAATATATTCCGTCTTTATGCTGATGAAAAATCAGAATATCAATCTAATGATGCTATTCAATGGTATTTAAATAATTCATTTCTTCAAAAATTAATAACAAAATCATTGCAAAGAAAAGACATCGATCAACTTTATCAATTAAGATATTTTCTTGTTGATCTTATCGAAAATTTAACTCGTGAACATCAACAACTTATTCAATTTCATAGAGAAAGTTGTGTTATTTATCAACAAATGAAATTATCAAAGCGTGAATTAAATGATTTCAAACAAAAGCAAGGACAGATAATGTTCATGAAAGGATTTCTATTAGTAAAGCAAGATATTTTATTACCGCAACGATCAGATTTAATCGATGTTCACTTGGAAATTAAATGTAATCTAAAAGAATATCAGAATAAAAATGAAGTTTTGTTTGATTTGAATACAACATTTCAATTGGAAAATATTGAAGAAAATGATCAAAAATTTCTTATTCGATTAACTGAAGTTAATCATGGACAAATGATTAAAGAAAAATATCTTACTGATACACATCGACAAATAGACAAGTTAAGTATTCCAATTATTTTTAGTAAATTAATGTGTGATATGAATGAATGGAATCAATCAAGAGAATATCTTCAATATTTATTAATCCATTCAAATGAACAAGATTTACCATGGATTGAATATTTTATTGGTGAGACTTTCTATGAAATTGGACAATTGAATAAAGCACGATTGTGTTATGATCGAGCGATGAAAACTAATCAAATTCGTCTTCAAGATTCGGCTGTAGTTCTTTCTGCTATTGGTAAAGTTTTATTTTCACAAGGAAAATATGAAGAAGCATACGATTTTTATCAACAAGCATTGGCAATTCAAAAAGATTTTTATCCTTCTCATCATGCACATATTGCTACTAGTCTAGAAAATATTGGTCTTGTTTTCGGCAGAAGATTACAATATGATCAAGCTCTTGATTTTCTTCAACAAGCATTAGAAATTCGAGAGAAATATTATGAACATTTTCATGTTGATATTGCCATTAGTTTGGACAGTATCTCTGAGATATTAGCTAAACAAGAAAAATGTGATCAAGCATTAGAGTATCAAGAACGTGCAATGTCCATTTTCAAAGAATATTATCAATCAAATCATACATATATAGCTCTTTTACTTTTTCGTAATGGTTATATCCTGTATCTACAAGAAATCTTTGAAGAAGCTCTGAATTTCAATCAACAGGCGTTAACAATAATGAAAAATTTGCGTTCATCAGGTCATCCCGATGTTGCTTACGCTTTGACAAATATCGCATATATTAGATATGAACAAGGAATGCATGAGGAATCGTTACAATTATATCAACAAGTATTAGCATTATTAATCCAATATTATTCATCTGATCATTTAGATATTGTTCAAGCTTTGATTAATATTGATCATACACTATTATATGGAAAAGAAAATTCTGAACAGGCACTGGATTTCTTTCAAAAATCTCTGGCTATGTTAGAAAGATCTTACCCATCCTGCCATGCACATATCGCTAACAATCTCAACTTGATTGGAAATGTTTTAAGGAAACAAACGAAATTTGATCAAGCCTTGGAAATATATAATCGAGCATTAAAAATTCAAGAAGATTATTATTCACCTGAACATATTGAATTAGTTGATACACTGACGAACATTTGGCACACTTTATCTTGTCAAGAAAAGGTGGATCAAGCTCTTCTCTTTTGTCAACGAATCTTAACAATTCAACAAAACAATTCTTTATTAGATCCTATCAACATTTCGTATACTTTCAATAGTATAGGAAATTTAATGGAAAAGAAAAAAGAATTTACTCAAGCTATTCAATTTCATCAACAAGCATTAACAATTCAACAGAAATGTTTTCCATTAGGTCATTCTACGATTATTGCTACTCTTGAGTTTATCGGTACACTTTTTAAAAATCAATGCCAATACGATCAAGCTCTCGAGTATTACAAGCAAGCACTCGACATCAATGTAAAATGCTTTCCATCTAATCATGTTCAATTAGCTTCAAATTTTATTTTGATTGGATCTGTTCTAAGTACGCAAGAAAAATTCAGTGAAGCATTAGATTTTCAAAATCGAGCATTGGTAATTCGAGAGAGAAATTATCCATCAGATCATGTTTTTATTGCGCATACTCTTACTCATGTTGCTCGTACTTTGTTCAATCAAAAAACTTATCATCAGGCATTAGAATCGTATCAACGAGCAATAAGTATTTATGAGAAATGTTATCTATCTGATCATATTGATATTATTTCTAATCTTAATAATATCGGTGATGTTCTCTATCGATTAGACAAATATGATGAAGCCTTAACATATCATCAACAAGCATTAGCAATTCAAGAAAAACAAAATGAAACTGCTCCTATCGATATGGCTCGTACTCTTAACCATATAGGACATATTTTTAATAGTCAAAAGAAATTCGATGAATCTCTTCATTCTTATCATCGAGCATTGGAAATTGGAGAAACATTCGATTCATTAAATTATCAAGCGATTTCCACGATGCTCTGTAATATTGCTGATGTTTTATGCAAACAAAGAAACTACATACAAGCATTTGATTACCAACAACGTGCATTAAATATCCAAAAAACTATTTATTCACTGTCCGACGTTAATATTGCAGAAAGTCTTCATTCTATTGGTCATATTCGATATGGTCAGAACATGTTTGATGAATCTTTGGATTTCTATCAGCAAGAACTAAAAATCTATGAAGAAAATCATGCATCGAATTTTGAAAATGTTGCTCTTTCTTGTCGATATGTTGGTACTTCTCTTATCCAACTAAAAAAATATCGTGAAGGTTTGAAGTATCTATGTCGAGCAGTGCAAATTTTTGAAGAAAATCCTTCGTCTGATTGTGAAAATCTTCCCGTATGTTTATGTGCTATTGGCAATGCATTACTTGAACAAGGAAATCCTAACGAAGCTCTTCATTATCATCAACGAGCACTTGTAACTCGACAAGAACTCTATCCATCTGGTCACATGTGTATTGGAACTAGTCTTGCTAATATAGGAAATATTCTTAGCGATCAAAAAAACTATGACGAAGCATTTGATATGTATGAACAAGCATTAGTCATCTATGAGAAATTCTGTTTATCTGATGATCTAGAACTTTCTATTTGTTTGAATAATATGGGTATTCTTCTAAATGAACAGGACAAATATGATCAAGCACTTCCGTTTTATTATCGAGCATTAGCAATTCAAGAAAAACATTTACCATATTCGTATACAACCGTTGTAAATACTCTAATGGATATTGGTCGAATAAAAGTTAAACAAAGCAATTTTGATGGAGCTCATGATGATTTTTCTCGAGCAGTTGCTTTACTTCGAGAATATGATCCACTTAATCATTCTGAACTTACCATTGGTCTCGAATGGATTGCATCTATTTGGATTCGAAAACGATGTTATCATCGTGCTATTGAATATCTTGAACAATGTTTACACATCAAAGAAGCTAGTCTCTCCCCAGAACATTTATCCATTGCAGGTACTCTTTCAGATCTTGCTCAAGTTAATCGAACCCGACATGAATATCAATTATCATTAATATACGAAATGAAATGTTATTCAATCATCGAAAAAGTTTTCTCACCAGATCATTACAATATTATTCACAGTTTGTCAAATATCGCTCAATGTTATGAAGATCTTAACGAACGTCAAATAGCTTTAAAATATTATCAACAAATACTAACGATCTGTGAACAATCTGAATCTGTTTCAGATTTCGAAATATTCACAGTTATAGATAAGATTGATCAACTCTTAACACAGATAAATGAAGAGTCGGTTTAAAAAATGAACATTTTAATCTGATCATTATTCAAGAAATCAATCAATCACAATATCATTTCAAAGAAACTCTTTTTATTTTGTAGAAAATCTTGCTTACACCAAACCAACCCAAATCATTCGAAACAGTCACATAAAAGTTTTATATTAATTGCAAAAGACGTGTGTTTAGTTTGTTTTATATGTGAATAAAGGGTGTCTGTGGGTGTGGCTGTGAATAAAATATGATCATAACATCCACACCCACTCTCAAAAATTTAAAGACAACTAGTTTTTGTTAAGAATATCTTCATATGACTTTTAAAGTATCAAGACAAAAATGATTCAAGAAGAGTCAAATATTGTAAACTTGTTGGAAAGAAATTTTGTCTTTCCAATCGATAAACAAAACACCTGTATGAATCATCGAAGAAAAAAAAAAGAAATGATTGCATCATCAAAATTTGAAATGTAGTCAAAGCATAAGACAAAACTGATGCAATAAAAATAAAAATATATCCCGCCGCTCGGAATCGAACCGAAACCATCCGATTTCTGCGTTCTATTTACTTCTACAGTCGGAGATCATACCATTAGACTACAGCGGGATGCTATTTCTCTATTTACTTATTTTACTTCTCAATATGTGACCAATTGACAAGTCAGACTCACTTCGATAAGAAATACATCAGCGGACGAACAATTCATTGAGAGATATTTATTTCTTAGAACTATGAAAAATTCACCAATTTTAATGAAAATCTTTTCAGTATTCTCTTTTATTCCTCAATAGTAGCTGTATGACAATCATCATTATTGTGGATTTGAGCAAAATTTCTATTCTTTGTTACTCTTTCTTTTATTTGCATACACTTTGATATTCTTCAGATAATGATATAGTTGCAAACCAGGCATCAAACATTACAACTTATTCTACTCTTTAAAGTATCTTATTTACTTTATGAATTCCATTAATGAGTAAAATATGAATTCACACAAAGACTGTCATTTGACTGAGTTCACTAGTCACTAGGGATAGCATCTTATCCCTTCTTTACCGATTACATTTAAAGTGTTACCTCAACTAGTCAGAGAATCTTTATATTGCAGTGACCTCTCTACTATTTTCATATTAAGATCTATGAAAAATGTTCATTGATTATTTTTTTATTTTGTAGCAAAGCTTAAAGAAAGTCCAAAACCTTTGTATCTTTTGGTAATAAAGATCTTCAATTAATTTATAATTTTCTTACTATTAATAGATATCATAATTCAGTAATAAACAATGATAGATAATTAAAAAATAACTATATATAGCAATAAAAAATGCAAATCAATATTTGTTTTTTTCTATAAACATCATTCGAATATGCGATATATTTATTATTCTGAATGTTAATTAAATTATCGTAAATTTTGATGAACTATTTAATATGCAAAGATTGTATATTGCTTTAAAGTTTTATTGATGTCATGGAAACAAAATTCGAAAATCATATTAAAAATTTTCATAAAGATATTTTCTATGTATTGCGTCACGTTACTTTTCTCTTCTTGTAAAAGTGAATTCATGTAACCAAGTTTATATGTTAACAGAATAATTATTTTTCTCTTTCCTCTCTCATAAAATGGCATAATAAATTGAAAGAAAAAAAAAAGTTGTAAACAAAATTCTTACTGTAGACTTGTGCAATACCGTAAAAGAAATAGAGCAACAATCTTAAAGTAAACTGCCATTTACTTGTTGTTACGAAAAAAACAAAGGAATACTATATCAATTCAACGGTAAATATTATTGATAAGATTTTTAGTGAAAACTATATTATGAAGTACAAATTAAGACTTTTAAAATAAATTTAATTTCGAACATGTGTTATTTTTAATGAAGAAAATAGTTTCGTAAATAAGATAAAACAGTAATTATCATTTCAGGAACACCCGAGTCGTTATTATCCTTCTAAATATCTTGTAAGTGTCAGAGATCGCAAACGTATAGAGAGGAAAAGATCAAGGAGATCCACTTACATTTGCATCCTCAACCTAAAGAATAACGCAATATATTTTGATGATCATATAAACTGTGGGTAATTCTCGTTTAGAGAGTTTTGATAGGATTATGGCTAACACAAAAAATGCATCGAATATATCCTCTACACGTGTTAAATGGATGTGGAATTCCAATGCAGATCCATTCTCAAAATCAGAATCAGCCAATTGGTGTTATTATTCAGATGTTGAAAATCTAATTATTGAAGAAGAATTTTCAGCTGGTAAAACTCATGCTATGTTGGATGATTATCATATTGATTTTAAGAATAATGTTCAAATTTCTAATAATGATGTTAATAAACAACGACAAGTCAAGCGAAAAGTATGCACCGAAAATGAAACAATTTTACGAGAAGATAGATTTCTACCTAATCCAATTGCTCCCGATCGTCCTTTCGGTGATCGCTATGGTTTTATTTCACCTTTTATAAAAGAAGTAGCAAATCATCTGAATATTACAAAAGACCAATTACCTTCGAAAAATAAATCAATTGTTCCAATGATGGTTGATCAAGCAGTTCTAGGTATTATTGACGAAGGAAAGAAAATGGGCAAACAAACTGAAGCGGAAAAACTAGTAAAGAATTTAAGAGAAAAGAAAGATCAAGGAATGAAAGAAGTTTGGCGATGTTGTGCATATCTTTATACTTTAGAAAGTTTTCTTTATAAGAAATTAAATGAAGTCATGCGATTGATAGGAAGTGAACAACATGAACAAATCTGGCGAAGTAAAATAAGTACTTTGGGTCCATTTTGTTTACTTCTATGGGATAATCCATTTAATAGAAAGATGATCAAGCCAGACACATTACTCTATCGAGGAGCCAATGTACCTGACGAATTAATTACATCATTCAAAGAAGAATGTGAAAAATCATGGCATACTTTTCAAGCATTTACTTCGTGTTCACGTAATCGTAAAGTCGCTGAAGGTTTTGGCAATGTCTTATTTATTATGAAAACTCTTGTTGCTTATACTGTTGATCTTAGTTCGCTATCTCAATATCCTGATGAAGAAGAAGAATTATTATTTCCTGGTGTTTCTTTTACGATTGATCGAATGGAATTTGACGAAAAAAAGAAAAAACATTTGATTTATTTAACTCTTCAACAACAACATAACAGTAAGTAAACACAATTTTGTACGACGTCACCATGTGTATAAGGTGGGTATGGTTTATCTCTTCTTCTTAGCAAAGCATTATTTCTGACTTTATACATCTAGAAAAAAATTTAAACTAATGCTGAATGAATGTAAATATCTATTTACTTGTTACTTGACCACACGTACTTATAGTCATACCTTACTATATATAATTCAAAAGCTTTTTCTAGAATTCGACCGCCATAAGCTTGGAAAATCATCGAACCCATCATATGCGAAACACTTGAAGAGTGGTTTAGATCGTTCTACTAATCTTCGTCTTGATCGTGATGATGATAGTGCTGATCATGATGGTTATGATGACGACTGGGATTGAGACTGAACTTCAATTTACAAGTTTTGGACATTTCAGTTTTCAAATCAAGAAATATTTTTAGTTAACTTCTTTTGTGCTTTTGATTTAAAAAATAATTAGATATCGTATGTTAAACAGCTGTAAACTAATTTAGTAAGTTATTTAGAAAGCAATCAATCTGCTATTGTGTTTGAGAATGATGATGTTTGTGTTCTGTATTAGAATATAAATGGTAAGTGTGAGTGTGTGTGTAAAAAATATCACTGGTAGTTGCCAAAGTTTTCACAGTAATATGACTATATAGTTGCACCACGACTCTTAACTAATACTTTTTTTTACATTATATGTTGAAAGATTTTAAAATATTCTTTTTTGAGGATGTAGGTGGATGATGGATATAATACTCATACCCATATCGATACTCTCACACCTATGCATACCTACTTCGTATAGAATCGTCAAATATCATAGACGACATTTATTATTCATCGACTTGCTTTAGCAAATATTATTTCATATAACGACATGAGGTATATCCATCAACAAAAAAGAAGACTGACAAGGATTCGAAAGAAGAGAACAAAAATGAATTAAACAAAACACCTTAACTGATATTTGCAATCCAGCGGATGAAAACAAAATGCTAGAAAGATAAAATAAAAATACCTAGTCATACTTGCACTTGTAATTCATTTATCAAAATTTTGAAGTGTTACAAGAGACAGTATATCAAAAAATAGTCAAGGTAAATAGAGGGAAACTTCACATGAGTATCAGAGAAAAAACCCCGCTTCTCACTTATCAACTGAGAGTCAGCTATTTTTCTCCATGAGTATATATCTTACATCTTGCACAATCGGTTGATATCTTGAGGGTGTAGGTGTGGGTGAGTGCTGATCTGTTCTTCATCCACACCCACACCCTCGCCCTCTAGATGGCTGCAAATGAATGGGAATGGATGGTAATGTCTGAATGGCTTTTTCCCACCATAGTCAAATCTGTAAGGGATTGCGTCATATCATAAAATGCTTACATATTCGTTTCTTTTCAATTCGCGTTGTTCTCACTGATAAAACACGAAAACAAATATTCGAGCATATCTCGTCTGATAAAATATAAGAACAGGCTAAATTTCGAAAAAATATCGAATGTCTGTTGCTTTCTTTATAACCATTTTGGCAAACAGACTATAATCAGCAGTATACCATATATATATTCATTCATTCATAAAGAATAGCTGTTATTTTGTTACCTTAGTACGTATTATTCGGATTACTATTTTAGAATAAACAATCAATAAAAAAGAAAGTAAAATGGCCAGTAATAAGGTAAATATCGTTCCAGATGGGGAACAAAGCGATCCAGATGAAGAATCGTCGGAGTTTGATGGTGGATGGGGATGGGTTATTGTCATTTCAGCATTCGTGACCCATTTTATAATGGATGGGTAAGCGGTTTTCTTCTCATATCTTGTACAGTTTTATACAAAAAAACAAATAGAATAACGTATTCGATGGGTCAAGTCTTCTTAGAACCCATGATGATGGAACTTTCCAACACTCGAGCTTCGGTGGGAAGTATTTTCAGCATTTTGCCGGCTGTGACGCTCGGCGTAGGTCTGTTATTATTGCTGTGAAACAAATCCTGTTTTTTTAAACTCAAGTTTTTACTTTTCAGGACCGATCGCATCCGTTTTTATTAATATAGTTGGATGTCGTAAAGTAACTATTGCGGGTGCTTGCATCGCTTCTTTCGGATTTTTTCTGAGTGTATGGTGGACTAACATCTGGTTTTACTATGCTACGATTGGTGTCATCGGAGGTATGCTTTTTTATAAATCAAATCGATTGGTGATCGACCAGTACACCGTACTTAACTTTTCTCATCATCTGTTTTTTCCTAAAAATGTTTCGGATGATTGAGTCAAATTTACTCGACTTCAAAAAAGACTGATTCTTATTTTATTTAACCTTTAATTTCGCTTTTGTTTATTGAATTCAGAAAAAGAACATCATTCACCAACGTCTAGGAGATGAATTGTCCCGCATTTCTACACGAGAAAAAAAGTATCAATCTAAATTTTTTTTTCTACAAAACATATTTCAAAAGTATTCCATGGAGATAGAAAGAAGATTAAGACTGTTCTTTAATATCATTCATATATTGATATTTTCAGGCATCGGTTTGGGACTAATGTACTTGGCAGCCTTAGCCTCTGTTAAGTTGTATTTTAAACATAAACGTGGACTTGCCATGGGCATCGCTGTATGTGGCTCAGGTGTGGGTACATTTGTATTTTCTTATGTTATGAATGAGATTGTTAATATACGTTCGTGGATCAATTATCCGACCGCATTGCTTGTAGAAGCTGGTATCATTTTGGTTGGTATTCTGTGTGGTGCCACGATGGTAATTAATTACGTTTTCTTCTGCATTCTCAGTTATTGAAGGCGACAAAAATCATAGGCATATCGATACGGGTTTTTAAATTGAGTGCGATAAGATATAGTTCGAAAGATCGAAAACATGTATTGTTTATCATACTCCTAGTTTTTGAGAGGGTATCAAAAATATAAGAGTAGAAATTCAGTACTGATTTTGTTTCAATGAAAATCAGTTTTTGCATCATGTTTCAAGATCATAACAATGAATTCTCTGTCTAGATGTATCGATCAAACGAACCAAGTGAACAACGAAAACAACTTACCAACCATCTAAATGAACCTCTAATACCGGTCGATAACGGCACTGACGGTACATTCGTCTATAAAACTTTCCTTTTTGCATTGATTAACATCATTTTCTTTATCAATTGCTCTATTTAGGAACAGCCCAACCGACGTCACTAGATGCTAGTATTGAGAAACCACCTGCCAAATCGTTTCTTCGTCAAGTAATCGACGAAATCGATACGACGTTACTAACAGATGTTGGATTTGTTCTATTTGCTATATCGAATTTTCTGTCAAGTCTAGGTTTCAATGTTGTGTATAATTTTGCTGATGATCTTGCAAATGATGCAAAAGTTATAAAAGATCAAAGAACATATATTGTTATGTCAATTGGTTTGTCTAACATATTCGGCCGTGTTATTATTGGTATTTTAGGTGATCGAAAATGGGTAAGAAAATGTCTAGTGATACAAACCGCTATTTGATAAAATTTATTTGATCTCATAGGTGAATCGTATTTACTTATTTATTTTAACAATGATTATTTCTGGTGTAGCTACTATGGCAGCTCCATTATGTGACTCTTCTGTTATTCAACATATAGGCTATGCATCTTTTTTTGGCTTCTTTTCAGGCGGTTCCGTTGCTTTAACACCACTTGTTATTAGCGATATAGTGGGTGAAAAGAAATCAACGAATGCCATAGGTCTTAGTGCTCTTTCTATGGGCGTTGCAGTTGCGATTGGAACACCGGTTGTTGGTGAGTATTTGGTTATAAATTTTAAATATATTTTTTCATTTCTGTGACCATGTATTATTTCTAGGAGGAATGCGAGACGCTTTTTCACATTTTGCGCGTCCTTTTCTTTGGCCCTATCTTGTATTTGGTGGTTGCACAGTTTTCAGTGGTATTATACTATTTCCCGCTGTTTCTCTTTCGAAAAAAAGAAAGCGAGAGGAGCAAAGGGAGCAGAGGGAGCAGCAAATGGCAATAAATTCTAAGGCTGTTTCCTCTAGACAAGACCCCAATTTTCCAGAGCAACGACAAGAGCTTTAATTGCTGCCGTATATTTTTTTGCCAACGTTCATAAAACAAGTTCCTTTATAGCACAAAAAAAAACAATAAATTATCTTGCTGAGAAGATCACCAAATATTAATGACTAATAATATGCGTGACTGGTGTGTGTGGATGTGGAGATGCGAGTGAATAGAAAGAGTAGACACCCAAATGAGTTAATAATTTGAGTCTGGTAGTTTCCAAGTATGATCTTTCAAAAGTACATAAAAAATTCAAAAAAAAACAATTTTCTCAAGTGCCTCATATACTGAGGATCTAGGGTCTTCTAATGGGGGCTCTCTTAAAGAATGCATTTTTTTGTATTTTAGCTTTGAGTAATTTTAAGATACTCCTCGTCAATTCATGAGAGACTATGAAGTATTAAAATTTATTTCGATTATACTGTCGAAGTTACTCATGGAACGATCGTTAAAAAAATTATTTGACGGCGAGAGTGTGAGTACGGATATGTTTCAACACCACTCTGCTATTTGTGAGGATGGAAATCTCACACGAGGTCGGTCCAGCGAGATAGTAT